AGTCTTTTGGCAATCCATCGCCGTGATCAGATGCGCTGTTCCGCAGGCTTCTGGGTTTGAGTGTGTCCACCTGAAGGCAGGGAGCCGTGACAGTGTGGGGTTCCTGCTGGTGTACCGCCCACCCCGCGACCCAGCAGCTTCCCTGTCTGAGCTAGCGGAGGTGGTCTCTAATTCGGCCTTGGTTTCCCAGCGCTTGGTGGTGCTGGGAGATTTTAACATCCACGCTGAGACCACCCTGTCTGGCACAGCTCAGGACTTTATGGCCACCATGACAACCATAGGACTGTCACAAATAATATCTGGACCCACCCATCAGGCTGGACATACATTTGACCTCGTTTTCGTGACGGACAGCGAAATGATTAGAGTGGAAGAACAAAACATCCTTCCGGTGTCATGGTCTGATCATTATCTGATCAGTTTTAGACTTACTGCAGCTCTCAACCTCCGCAGGGGTGGAGGACAGATTAAAATGGTCCGCCCTAGGAGACTGATGGATCCGGATGGATTCCTGAGGAATCTTGGGGTTCTTCCTGCCTTGGAGCCTGGCGATTCTATCGACGCCTTGGTGACTCTCTACAACAGGGAGATGTCCAGGGCGATAGATACGATCGCACCCGAACGCCCCATCTTGTTGCGTCGTGACAGGCCATCTCCCTGGTTCACCGGGGAGCTGGTTGTGATGAAGCACACGAGAAGGGGGCTAGAGTGCAAATGGAGGAAATCTTGGGACGTGTCTGATCAAGCACGGGCTAAAGCCTCTCTTAGGGCATACTCCGTGGCTATACGGGTGGCCAGGAAATCATTCACGACCACCCGTATAGTGTCTGCAGCAAATAGATCATCGGAGCTGTTCCGGGTCGTAGGAGAACTCCTTCACCCACCTGTGGTGGAGGGGGTCACTGACGACCCAGCAGCTCGGTGTCGCGATTTCGCACACAATTTTGCAGGCAAAGTTGCCCAGATACGCCTTGAGCTCGACTCCAATTTCATGGCAGTGCCAGAAGAGGTGACGGAGGCATCTGCTTGTCCAATATTGTGGGATTCTTTTAGGCTTGTTCTTCCTGAAACCGTGGAAGAGATTCTTGGGGCTGTGAGGGCGACCACCTCATCTCTAGACCCATGCCCATCTTGGCTCATTAAATCGGCCAGGGAGGGGCTGGTTGATTGGTTTGTATTGATCATTAATGCATCGTTGGAGCAAGGGATTTTTCCATCTAATTTGAAACAGGCTGTGGTTCGCCCACTCCTCAAAAAGGCTTCCCTTGACTCCACGGTGCTGAGCAACTACAGGCCAATCTCCAACCTCCCTTTTTTGGGTAAGGTGCTGGAACGGGTGGTCGCCACCTAGCTCCAGAGCTTTTTGGACGATACCAACTACCTAGATCAGTCACAGTCGGGTTTCAGGCCTGGTCACGGCA